CCACGATATGGACCAGCAGATGCACCATAACGTCGAAGAATGCGGGCGGGAAGTACATCTCAAGCTCGCATAGTATCACCACGATCTCTTCCTGTAGCCTTCTGAGTTGCCTCACGCCAACAGACTTCCGAGAGATGACGTCGAAAAAGTTGCATAGGCCAAATAGGGTTTCACGGACGTGCGCGTCCATGATCCCACGGATTGAAACTGGAAGTATCTGCGTCATCAGCACGTGACAGTCGTGAGACTTCATCCCGCTGAACTTCTGCTTCGCTGGGTCTAGGTATCTGCTTATCTTCCCCGCGTAACCATAAGGAAGTTTTACTCCTACGAGGCAGGTGAAAAACTGCTCGATCTCCTCCTGACTTAGAGTGAAGCACGCGGGAGGGTAGTCATTTTCGGTCTTCTTGGCCTTCTTGCCTTTGCGACGACTTTCCGTGTCCTGCTTCGCCTCATCATCATCATCATCATCATGATCATCATATATAGTGTGAAGCTCCTGCCTGATGCCCATTGATTTCAAGTCTGCCCTTGCTTTCGGCCCATCTTTGGTCCTCTCTGGCATGTTGAGCAGGGTACCAAGCAGACTCTCGCACACGTTCTTCGTGATATCCATGACATCAAGGCTGTGAGGCACACGGTGGATCTTCCAGTATGGCAAGTCCCAGAAAATAGACCTCGTTTTCCATACCTTCAGCAGCGGCTCTGGCGCCTTTCGCTTCTTTCCCGGCTCTGGCGCCTTTTGCTTTTTTCCCGGCAGTGGGCAGTCTTTCCATTTTTTTAACAGCTCGTCTATTTCCTTGCCGCTCCTCGTACGCGGGCGTCCTCGGGGTTCGGTTTCACCATCGAACAGATCCTTGCGTTTTCTCCACGGGTCATCGTCGCGAAGCCACCTTCGATGTCCCATGAACACGGTTTTCGAAGACCCGGGATCTCTATCTAGCTGGCGATACGTTGTGTCATCCATGCACCTGGCGCATCCAGAAAATCCGTGGACCACCTGCCCTGCGACATATCCGTAACCGAGATAGTCGTGCACCGTCGTGAGCAGCGCGGCTCTCATAGGGAAATATTCTTTCTCTGCGGCGTCCCACGTATTGGCTGGCATTTTCCACAGCGTGTCAAGCTCCTCTTTTAGCAGCCCCAGATACAGATTGATGTCGTTCCCTGGTTGTTTCGGTCCTTCAATTAGCATACTCATGTGAATGTACTTCCTCTTCATGCACAACCAAGGGGAAGGTTGTACATCCACACAAACACAGGCCAGGTGCTATGTGTGCTTCTCTGGCTGCCAAACGGATTGACTCCATCGGTGCTCGCGCCCAGCACAATGTTCCTTGGATCGTTCCCAAATTCTGGGTCTTCGAAGTTCAACGCTTACCACTGTCTCGCATCCTTAGGGTGACTCAGCATCTTGTCTTTTTTATCTATCTCCGGATCATTTGCGTCATCTTCTCGCTTCTTCTCCTCCCTATCCGCGTGCCAACGCAGGAGCTTTGCTACCTTAGGGTCCGCGAAATACCGCTGCAAACGAGGAGTGATCGGAAAGTACCACACCACTTTTCGAGGAGCTTTCTTCCTCTTCTTGTATCGAGTGACGCCGCACACCGGACATATGGTAGACTCCGCGTGCTCGTCCTGATAAATGATGCAATTGTTCATGCACACATGGTATTTCACGTGCGGTAAATCCAGAGGACACACGATTTTCTTCGCCTCCTCCAAACTGGCCGGGCACTTGTTCCCCTTGGGAAGACATTCGTGCCAGAATGACATATGCTCGTCGAAGCATGCGTCGGTCATTTTGTGTTTTACCTTCATCTCCAGAGCCATGAGCGTTACTTTCAGGCGGGTATCCTCGGGCCTGCATCCTTCATACAATGGAGTGACCGCGTCTAACTCAAGTTCATCCATCTTGGCTTTCTCTCGGTCGGCAGCTCTTGCGTTATCCGTCTGCTTGAGAAGCAGCTCTTGAATATGAGGGTCCTGCACCCAGCCCATCGATGGTCCAGCGTCGTCTGCTCCGGCATCTTCCTCATCATCATGCCCTGCATCTTCTACATGATGACTGTGTACAGCATCACCGTCGTGATCATCTCCTGGGGATTCTTCGTCTTCTCGCCCGCCCGAGCTGCGGTGGTTGTCTTGCTGCCCTTCCTCATTTCTTGCCCGGCCCCCATGGTCGACTTCGTAGTCATCTTCATCACCTTGCCACCGATAGCCATCCATGAAACCACGCAAGAGCAGGTGGTCCCGCACCTGCCCAGATTCCGGGTCCGCAATAAGGCTCTTCAGCTTGCATCTTCGATACGGACATCTTATCTCCGTCTCGTTCTTTTGAAGCATCTCGGCCTTCGCGGACCTCAAAAACCTATTCACGATGCCTTCGGTCATCATGCGGACCATGGTTGCCTGCGGGGTAGAGCAAAACGATATTTTAGAACCAAGAAAAAATTTGGCATGACTTTCCCTAAAAATAGGACCAAAAAGAATGCTTAATGCCAAAATTCTCGCCGAAACGGAAATGAATCAACATTCCGGCAAAATATTGGCAACTATGGCATTTCAAATACCGGTACACCTCCAAACACAAACACATATGCAACACCACAAACATATGCAACACTACGAACATACATATATCTACCTAGGCCATAAAAAGTGCATGTGCACATTGTTGTAGGGAGAAATACATAAATATAGCTTCCCCCATTACTTACCTATCAAAACAAGGCAATTTAACCACTTAAATTGAATGAATCTATGGTGGAAATGAGGTGAAAAAGAGGAGGCACCCGAGACAAGGAGGAGGCGGAGAGAATGAAGTGGGGAGAAAGTGAGTGTGGGTAGGAGAGGCTCCCCAAAATATCTTGTTGCTGCCCACTTACTAATGACGCACCAACTCCAAATACGCCATTAGTAATCCAGGTTACTAATGGCGCACCATCTGGTGATGCGCCATTAGTAGTTTTGCAAAAAAAAAATTACTAATGGCGCACTGTCCCCCAATGCGCCATTACTAGTTTGAACTAGTAATGGCGCACGGTGCAACAGTGCGCCATTAGTAGTTTTGCAAAAAAGGGAATAAAAAATATAATAAAAAAAACAACATTATTGGCGCACTTTCCGGCAGGTGCGCCATTACTAGTTACAACTAGTAATGGCGCACTTTTTCTGGATGCGCCATTAGTATGTTTGGACAGGCGCACTAGTTAAAAAAATTTGATACTAATGACGCACCCTATGCCAGGTGCGCCATTAGTAGTTTCAACTCTAATGGCGTACCAGATGGTGATGCGCCATTACTATATACTAATGGCGTACCGCTTGTCAGGTGCGCCATTAGTGTCAATCCCATCTATAGCCCTTTTTCTAGTAGTGTAAATGTGATATCAACTTGGCTTCAAATTCTAAGAATGGCCCACTGCCTGCAATGCATAGTTGTACATTCTCTAACTTCGGTTCGTCATCCCGCATGTGAATTTAGCAAATGGCTTCGGAGGTATCATTGGACTTATCAAGCTCCTTTATCAGCTCCAGTTCTTTCACCCTACGCGGTTACCTTCTCATATCCTCATTTTGGTTCTCAAACCATCGATCGGTCATCTAGGTTCCTCATCCTACTCACCATTCCCAACACAAGCATGCCATAGCTGTAAGCATCTAACTTGTAGGATATTGATTCAATATTATACAGGTTGAGCAGTTCAAAGCTGTATTTTCCATCTTTTTAGACATATAAGAATTCGATGTACATCACTATCTCTTCTCCCTCTGGTCACTATTTAATAGTAGGACTCTCATTGTGAAGATAAAAATTCTTCAAAGAACTCTGAATTTTTTAGCAGTCCCCACAAAATGTGTCAAATTTCTGAAACAGAAGTTCTACTGTTACGGAAGTGTATGTAAAGTCCATTTCCTGCCCTCTTCTCAAAAGAAGAAATTTAGTTAGATCTGCATGATGGCCAATCCAGATAAAACTGGATTATTATGTAGGAACTGTGAAGCAACAAAGGGAGCTTATAGACTGATAAAGGAACTTCCTGCCTTTCCGAACATACTAGATTAGTGTTAGCAGAAATTGCAAACTGCTGGTTGATACTAAACGTTTGGTGTTTATTAGTCCCTTGAGGTCCCAACTTTCTTTCGTATGGTGCATTCCTCCGCTTTCTTTGCATGTGTGAAAATTTGAACATGCTATTAGTTTCAACTACAATAACAACATATTTTGTTTTCAAGGGAGAAACTGGACAAAATACTGCAGCTGCTTGGAACTCAGCGTCTTGACTGACCAAAATGTCTTATTCACCATGGTTCTGTGATTCCCGTGCAACAGAGAAGGATGTCCAGAGCCTCGTCATTTTGTGTTCTCTGGCCAATATGGATTTTTGTGACAACCGTCCCTTGACTAGCCTATCATGCATGCTGTAATCTAACCTTGTGGTACGCATGCAGCCAAGAAACTCAGCCAAAGCCTCGTTATCTCGGTTCCATGGCCAATATGGGAATGATGTAATCCACACATCTTGGTTTCTCTAGGGCACTTCTGGAAGCAGCAACACATATTATTGGTCATGATCTGGAACAAAAGCTTGACTGTTTGCGGCGGCAGCTGCGTGGAAGGCTGGGAGCATCTCGGTAATATCGCGATCTCAAATCTGAATGCTCTCATAGAGACTGTGGTGATTTTTTACCTCTCTAAATAAAACTATCAATTTGTTAGCTTTGCAGAAAAATGTTAAAATGGGAAATTGGGTGGAAGGCAATAATTCTGTTTGGCTGTTTTGACGGGTCACTAGGCCGTAGACAAGTCTATGGCTCCATCAAGGACTCGTTCAAACTGAAATCGACATGTATGGGAAATGTAGTGGCGAAGACTACACCACTGACTCCTGTTGGCCAGTGAGTCGTATTAATACTTACCCTGCTCCTCCAACTACTTCCACACAACCAAAGGGCGAAAGAAAGAAACTCCGCTCTGAAAACCAGCATATAGCACCATGCCAGGTCTGATCTGGTTGTGCGTCCTCTTGATCGTCTCTTGCCATGATGGTGTTGATGGCGTCACGGAGTTCATATACAATGGGTTCGCCCGCAGCAAGCTCCACCTCGACGGTGAGGCTTCCATCTCAAAACACGGCGTCCTCTCTCTAACGAGCAGCAGCTGCGGCGACAGCTCCTTCACCCAGGGGCATGGTTTCCATCCAGAAGCTCTTCCGTTTGTCAATTCCCATGGCGTGTCCATGAGCTTCTCGGCCACTTTCGTGTTCTCCATCACGCCCACTGACTCTGACACTTCCGGCGACGGGATGGCATTTGTCATCTCCTTGGCCCCGCTGTCTGGTACCTGGACAGATGGGCAATACTTGGGACTTGTCAATCAGGACGACGACGGTGGCACACTTGCAAACCGTTTCTTCGCCATCGAGCTCGACACCGTAGCCAACTGGGAGTTCAGAGATATAGACAACAACCATGTCGGGATTGATCTCAACAACCTAACGTCCGCCGCCTCTTCAACCGCAGGGTATTACAGCGACAATGTCGAGAAGGACTTCCACTTCTTCAATCCACTGAGACTTTCTAGTGGAAAGCCAATGCAGGTTTGGGTGGACTACTATGAGATGCAGCTCAACGTCACGCTTGCTCCTGTCCCCATGAATAAGCCCTCTTCACCGCTATTGTCTTACTACCCCATGGATCTTGCAAAGGTCCTGAAGAATGACACCAAATCAAAGGCAGGGGTTCCAACCACAGCATACGTCGGTTTCTCTGCCTCCAGCGGTGATTGGTGTGCCTCCCAACAAATTTTTGGGTGGAGCTTTCACCTGTATGGACCGGCCAAACCACTTGACTTATCGCTGCTGCTGCCGCCATTAAAACAAGTACAAGATAGTTCCAGACAAGAAGCCCATGACAAGAAAAAAGTCGTCAAATGGGTGCCCGCAACTATATCTTCACTTGCCATACTTGCAGGTATAACAACTTGCCTTCTGTTTCGATGGTGGTGGTGCAAGAAGAGGATGTCAGAGAGGAATGAAGACTGGGAGGCTGAGCTTGGGCCCCACCGCTTCGCGTACAAGGACCTCCGCCAAGCAACAAATGGCTTCGACGACAATCAACTCCTTGGGAAAGGCGGCTTTGGGCAAGTCTATAGAGGAGTCCTTGGCAACTCTGGCATGGACATCGCAGTGAAGCGGGTCTCCTCGGAGTCGAAGCAGGGGTTGACTGAATTCACAGCTGAGGTCATCATCCTTGGTCGCCTACGACACCGAAACCTTGTCCGTCTGATCGGCTATTGCCGGCACAAGGTCGAGCTTCTCCTCGTCTACGAGTACATGCCCAACGGCAGCCTGGATAGCTACATGCACACCCAGACTAGGCACACGATGCTCTCATGGTGTCAAAGGCTTCACATCATCAGAGGCGTCGCGTGCGGGCTTCTGTACCTCCACGAGGACTGGGAGCAGGTCATCGTACACCGCGACATCAAGGCCAGCAACGTCCTGCTTGACGGAGAAATGAACGGCCGGCTCGGCGACTTCGGCCTCGCGAGGCTGCACGACCATGGTGCCGACGCGCACACCACCCATGTGGCCGGCACGAGGGGCTACCTCGCCCCTGAGCTGACAAGGTTTGGCAAGGCCACCAAGGCGACAGACGTGTTCGCATTTGGTGCCTTTGTGCTAGAGGTGGCTTGTGGTAGGCGTCCGGTGGGGTTCAACGCCCGCGGCGAGCTGCTGGTGCTTGTCCAGTGGGTGCGCGACACATGGGCGAGCGGCTCCTGCTCGATCCTCGACACCGTTGATCCAAGACTGGACGAATATGCTGCTGATGAGGCGGAGCTGGTGCTCAAGCTGGGGCTGTTGTGTTCGCATCCTTTACCTGTGGCAAGACCCAGTATGCGCCTTGTTATGCGGTACCTCGATGGAGACTTACCCTTGCCCGAGTTCTCTCCTGAATATCTCAACATTACAGATGTCGATCAGGTTCTTGATGAAGTGCCTCCGTCAATGGCAAACAGCATTACAGGTCTGTCTGGAGGTAGATGATAGGACATCCAGGAGGGTTTATCTATTGTTGTTTAATTAAAGGCTGGGGTGGTGTTAGCTTTAGAAGAACCTGATGGGGAGAAAATGATAAATGATAGATATGTATGTGTTTGTGTGTGTGTGGCTACTGGCTACTGAACAAATCTGGGCACTTCACAATAAAAAATACCTGCATACCTTTCGGAAATTCTCTCAGGTTACTTTCCCACAAGTCTCTTTCTCAAGACTGAGAAGTATCCTCCAAAAGGATAGCCTTGGGAAGAGATTGTGGCTGCCAGTGTCACAGGATAGGAACGGCAGCTACCTCCTGCCCTGTACACCTTCCAACTACTACTTTGCAGGTCTGTTCCTTCCATTTGTCCATTGTTCGTGTAGCTCCAGACAGAGCAAACAGCTTTGCAAGCTCAAAAAGTCTTAACTCTTTGGATTGAAAAATCGACCAAAATCCTCGAACGGCCAGTGAAACAAATAAATTTGCCCCACCAACTGCCAACATTGTTAGTTACCTATAGTGGTGAAAAGGAGCAACGGAATCCCATATATATGTAGCATTTTACAGTTTTTTTCTTGTGACGGTTCAAGATTGGTTCGAGCCTTATTTTCCGCTTCTCCGAGGAAATCGAGCAATATTGTCAGCTGAGGTGTTTTTTTCTATCTCATTAGTGTTGGACTCATGCTGGTCAATCAATGACAATGACAAGCTCTATAAAAAAGAGTCTATTGAAGCTAACCTAACCAGTTCTTGTCTCTGAAATTTTATTGTCAGGGGATGTCTGCAAGACGCTCTACAGTTCCAGAATCCAGATAATAATATGCAGTCTCTGACCTTGCAAAGCTCTGCACAAGCATGCATAAGGGACAATGGGACAGATGGCAGCAGGTTGGTGTTACAAATTTAATCCCTAGCTTGAACCATATGAAAATTAATAATACTCCCTCCATTTTCGTATACAAGGCCACTATCAAAATTACAATTTGCAACTATACAAGGCCACTAACATTAATCGAGGCAAAATTGATGGCGTTTGCCTACTAGTACCCGAGGACATTAATATCCCTTGTGTGCATGCGGGAGTGAGAATGTTAGCTTGCATTGCCAACATTAATCAACCAACGAGGAGTAACAGGGTTGGCTTGTTGTGCGTGTGAGAGAAAAACCACATTAATTAACACGACAAACAAGATGACAAGCTAGCTTGCAACATTGACTTAAACATAGCATTGATTTTTACCTTGGTACCTGTAAATGAGTTTGTGGCCTTGTATATAAAAATGGAGGGGGTACTAGGAATCTGTAAAATATATTGCCATGTCAACACATCAAAACATGGCAGTTTGAACCTGATTAATACCAGTTCAGTTCAGTTCAGTTCAGTTCAGTTCAGAGAGAGAGCAAGCCGCGCCATTTCCCTCAAAAAGAAAACAAAAAAGATATCCCTGCCCTTCCTTCCCCGCCCCATCACACTTCTTGGCGGCGCTCCGGCGGTGGCTTCTGGTCTCGCCCCTGCGCTTATTGTAGCAGGCCGCCACTCTGCCCTAGCTGCGCATCTCTTCCCGTCAGCCGCTGCCGCTGCTGTCTACCTCCTCCGCCACCCCGCCGCATCAGGAAATGTGAACCTTCTTCCTATTTGTACTGGATGTTCGCTATGGTTCACCACAGATTTAGGAATCATCTGCGCCTAGTACAGATTTGGGAATCCTGCTGCCAATCGATCACTTGTGCAACGATTCAGCACCCGGCAACGGCTGAGGACTAATTCAGATAATCGACTGCACCTCTTGAGTCTTGACTAGAGCTATTACTTTTCAGATTGTCGTCAAATCTGATGTCCGGTAACAGGTAGTGTTAGTTGATCTCAAAATAGACATGCATTACACACATTCTAATCATAGTTTTAAATAGCCGGCTATAGCGGAGCTATAGCCTTTTCAGCAGGATGCCGCTAAATGATCGTCTTCACAAATAGCCCGCTTTAGCCTGCTATAGCTGATTTGAAGGCCCGTCGCTATTTTCCATAGCCCGCTATTTAAAACATTGATTCTAATGCACAAATTCAGTCCAGCCGCTGTAGAACAACAAGGTTTGCAATGTTGAACTATTTTTCAAGTAAAGTTGGGCCTCATATTGTAATAATTCGAGAAGATACAACAGACATGTCAGTTGATTTACATAAGAAATTCTCATGTCCTGCTCATAATCTAATTGGCTTCTATGCCAGGATTGTCTCATTTCACCTTGGGCCTAATATATGTGAGGCCAGAGGTGGAACTGAGGAGATCCACTGGAGATTGACGAACAGCTTGCCGAGGGAATTCAGCTAATCCACTGCACGGTTGAGTCACATGAGTGGTAAGCAGCAACTTCCGACTAGTTCTATTAATAGTCAAATTCTCGTGAAATTGATGCCATATAGCCTGGTAAATAGGGGGATTCTCATGGTCATAGTAGTAGAGATCGATGAGCAGCATACCATGATTGACTTCCATCTACAAACTTTGAGACATGGCCAACTATCCAAACTTATGATGATGCAATACACTTTACGAGTATCAAAATGCTAACTGATTCAAAAATCAAATGCCTTATACGATACACATTACTAAGCATAGCAGAACCTATTATGAAAGGAAAACACATTGGAAATTGGGAGAAATTTAAACCACTTGTAATTTTTTCTACTTCCAAATACCATTCATTCTGTCAATTTCTCTGCTTTGTTGGATCCTGGGAGCATTTTGGAACATGCTGTTAATTTCAACTACAATGACTAGAAAAATACCTGCATTAATTGATCTGAAAACAGACTTGCATTACATGAAAAATTGAACATTCTAATGACTAAATTCAGCCCAGCTGCTGTAGAACAAGAAGGTTTGCAATATTGAAATACTTTGCAGGTAAAATTAACTCGAGACAAGGGGCTTCAGATTATAGTAATTTGAGAAGATACAACAGACTTATCGTTTGCTTTACATAAGAATATCTCATGTCCTGCTCATAATTTAATTGTCTATCTTGTCAAGATTTTCTCATTTCACCTGGGACCCGATACATGTGAAGCTAGAGGTGGAACCGAGGAGACCACATTTCCATCAGCGCCGAAATACACTTGATTTGTTGCAACAAAGTTATGATCAATGTTGCTCTCTGCATTCATGGCACCTTCCAAGACCTTGACTACCTCGGACATTTTAGGCCTTCTTTTGCAATCAATCTGCAAACACCACATTGCGAGCTTCATCATTTCAATTACATCCTGCTTATGTGCTAGCATATCGTTACTCTTATTGTCAATAAATTCTACCAACCGATTAGTCTTCACCTTTTCCTGCAATTGCGTGATGAGATGGATGCTCTCTTCGGATCGGGAATTGTCGAGGTTCTTTCTTCCACTGATGACTTCCATGACCACAACACCAAAGCTATAGACATCGGCCTTTTCCGTGATCTGCGATGTCAACCATTCAGGAGCTAAATATCCAGGTGTGCCTCTCATTCTGGTAAACACTTGACTCATATCCCTGTCAATGAGCTTGCATAGTCCAAAGTCAGAAAGTTTAGCATTGAAGTCATTATCTAAGAGGATGTTTTGTGGTTTGACATCCAAATGGGCAATCTTTTTCATGCACTCCTCATGAAGATAAGCGAGACCCTTAGCTATGTTAGTGATAATCTTGCACCGTGTGCTCCAATCTAGAGGAGGTGAATCCTTGTCATGTCAACAATAGATCCATCTGTCCAAGGATCCATTTGGCATGTACTCATATACCAAGATCCTATGCGATTTCTCTGCACAGAAACCAATTAATCTCACCAGATTAATATGATGAATGCTGCCAATTGTCTGAACCTCTGCAGAAAATTCCCTTTTGCCCTGACCCGCTCGATCAAAACGTTTTACTGCAATCCTTTCATCAGCGAGCTGTCCCTTGAAAACAGATCCAAATCCTCCTTCCCCGAGCTTGTTTGCGAATTGCTCGGTTGCTGCTTTTAACTGTTGAAATGTGAACTTCATTGATGTTCCTTGTAGCTCCCCAAACTCTTCCTCCTCCATCTCATGATGTCGTTGTGTTCTTCGTTTACGTATAAAGTAATTGATGAGGAACAAGATGGAAAGAAAAATGAAGCCGCCTACAGTAGCTAAAATTGCAACAACTCTTCTTGTAGAAGAGGATTTCACTTTCATGCTTGTTGGGCCAATAGTTGCAGACACTGTAGTCTATTTCCTGGCACTCCAAGAAATAAGGTTAGAACCAAAGAATATTGCAAATCCTCCTGTTGACCTTCTGTCATCACTGCATCCTGCCCAGTCAGCATCAGAAAAGGCACTAACAAGAGTAGAGCTAGAACGTTTGAACTGAAGTCCTAGGCTCACAGTGTGCTTAATATATCGTACAATTCTTTTAACAGCTGTCCAGTGTGCAGTAGTAGGTGCATGCAAATACTGACAAACCTTGTTGACTGCAAATGATATATCTGGTCTTGTCAGTGTCAGATACTGTAAGGCTCCCACATCACTTCTGTACCTTGTGCTTTCTTCTTCCTTGAGTGGCTCCCCTTCAAAAGCTGAAAGTTTTTCCGAAGATGATAATGGTGTAGGTGAAGGCTTACATTCCTTCATCCCCATATGAGTTAGAAGTTCAATAGCATATTTGTTCTGACTTAGCACGATGCCATCTGAAATCTTCTCAACTTCAATGCCTAGGAAGAAGTGTAGATCACCAAGATCTTTCAAAGCAAACTTTGAACTTAAATCATGCAGAAGGGCATTAATAGCATCTTGTGAGGAGCTAGCAACTATAATATCATCAACATAAATCAAGACAAATATAACTGTATTTGCCTTGTTATAAATGAAGAGTGACGTGTCAGCCTTGGATGCAACAAAACCAAAACACCTTAGCTGAGAACTCAACCTTGAGTACCACGCCCTTGGTGCTTGTTTTAAGCCATAGAGCGCCTTATCAAGTTTGCACACATAATGAGGTGTCTTTTTATC